AATTGAGAAAATGACTCCACAAGATTGGCCTATGGGTAAGCCTGTGGTGTGTTTTCTTTGTTGATAATTGATGTGAAAGAGCCCAACTCACAGTTGGGTGTTGCCACTCCTGGGCTGGTGGTCCTGGGTTGTGTAAAAAAGCAAACACGTGCTGGGAACAAAAACCAAGTCCTCTGCGAGAGCAGACGTCTCTCCTGCACAGGGATTTTAACAAAAGTGGAAGCTAGGACATGAAAGAAATATCTGGAAGTCATGACCACTCCAAGGAGAGGTTGAAATTTAGGGATTTGGTGTTGTGGTGCTGAGACTGTTTTATTTCCCAATGTAGGTACTGAGTGAAAATGAGGACATGATTGCTCCTAGCTGTGGTTGAGGAGAAGGTTTTATTATAGATATGGGAGAAAGAATAGTCAGAGGCATCTAGAAGGGTCCAGACTGAACTGGGCTAGGAGAGGAGATGGGGTTGGTGGGGAGGAAGAGAGGAAGAGAAGAAGGAGGGAAGAAGAGAGAGGGCAAACAGAAGAGAGGTCCATGATGGGGCCAAGAGAAGAGCCAAGAGGCCAAGAGAACATGTAGCCAAAATGGCTAGGGTTCGTAGGAAAAGAGAAGCTAGGGGAAGAAGGGAAGGAAAGTTCAGTGGCTGGAGAGGTCTAGGGTAGTGGGAGGATATGAGAAATGCTTAGGAGCCAAGACTCTGTAACAGGTACTCGCTGAGAGCCTGGCCAGCATCTGCTTCGATATGTTAGTAGGCACCTCAGTCAGCCATTTGTCCCTCCTTTCTTGGAGACCTGACAGGTATTTTAGTTACTTTTACAATACTGTGACAAAACACCATGACCAAGGAAACTTATAAAAGAAAGAGTTTAGCCGGGCGGTGGTGGCGCACGCCTTTAATCCCAGCACTCGGGAGGCAGAGCCAGGCGGATCTCTGTGAGTTCGAGGCCAGCCTGGGTACCAAGTGAGTTCCAGGAAAGGCGCAAAGCTACACAGAGAAACCCTGTCTCGAAAACACCAAAAAAAAAAAAAAAAAAAAAAAAGAGTTTAATTGGGTTTCTGGTTTCAGAGGGTTAGAGACCATGATGGCGTAGTAGAGGCATGGAGGCAGCTGAGAGCTCATATCTTATAAGAAGGCGTCAGATAACACAGTGACTGGCTCCACTCTTGAAACCTCAAGCCTGTCTCCAGTGACACTTCCCCCAACAAAGCCACACCCCCTAATATTTCCCAAATAGTCTACCAACTAAGGACCAAGTATTCAAACTTGAGCAAGGTCAAATCAACGACAGAGATGGAACTCTTTCTCTAATCAGCTATGGAGCCCCTCATTGAAACCAAGACAAGAGGTAAGACTCAGGGGATCGCTTAGGACCCACTATTGTTTGTTAGAGAGAACAGGAATCCAACAGGCTTCTTGAGAAAGGGTACAATCTTGCCAAGTAGACAAGTTAGGACAAGTGCTGTTCTGGTTAGTTTTTTGTCAGCTTGACACAGGCTAGGGTCCTATGGGAAGAGGGAACCTCAGTTGAAAAAAAAAAAAAAAAAATGCCTCTATCAGATTGGCCTGTAGGCAAATCTGTGGGAGCATTTTCTTGATTAATGATTGGTGTGAAAGGACTCATCCCACTCTGGACAGTGCCACCCTGGACAGATGGTCCTGGATTGTATGAAAAAGAAAGCTGAATGGGCATAAGGAGCAAGCCAGTAAGTCACATTTCTCTGTGGTCTGCTTCAGTTCCTGTCTTGAGTTCCTGCCTTGACTTCCCTCAGTGCTGGACTGTGATCAGGACCTGTTAGCCAAATAAACCCTGTCCTCCCTAGGCTGCTTTTGGTGATAATTTTTTTAGTAACTTATTTTATTTTATTTTTATGTGCATTAGTGTTTTGCCTGCATATATGTCTGTGTGAGGATGCCAGATCCCCTGGAAACGGAGTTACAGACAATTGTGAGCTGCCACATGGGTGCTGGGGATTGAACCCAGGTCCTCTGGAAGAGCAGCTGGTGTTCTTAACTGTTAAGCCACCTCTCCAGCCCAGTCATAATCTTTATAACAGTGATAGAAAGCAAACTAGGACAATTAAGGAAAAACTTGATCCAATGTTGAATTTTTATTTAGAGTCTGTCGGACATGTGGAAAGCACATACCTGTGAGACTTGTATGCATATATGCTGCCTTGGAATTAGGGGTGTTTGAGAGAGAGAGACAGATTCTTTTTGTCCTGTGTAACAGAATGATGTCTTTGTATGATGAAAGAGTGCCCACAGGAATGGACTTTTCTCTGTGCTTGGTGATACAGATGGAGCCTGGATTAAAAGGCCAATATCTGACAAAACTTGCAAGAAAAAAAAATGTGAAAGAATTAAATTTGTACTTACATTTTGCTATGAGAACTGTGGAAAAAGTGGGAAGTCTAGTGAGATGGGGTTCAGTTAGGGTGCATGTGGAAGGAGATTGTTGTTGGGTCCACATTCTGACATAGGAGGGAACCTCAATTGACCATAAGATCAGGCTGTAAGGCATTTTCTTAATTAGTGATTGATGCGGGGAGGGTCCAGCCCATTGTGGGTGAGATCACTCCTGGGATAGTGGTGCCGGGTTCTACAAGGAGGGGAAGTTTCAACTCTGAGGAAATAGCTATGCAGTGCTCTGTTCAAGGACACTAGACACATCTATGATTGATTCTGTGTGTGGCTATGCATTCACACACACAACCCCAACAAAATTCAGAGGAAAAGGAACCCACAGAGCAACGTCACACATTAGCCACAGGAAACAAGATATATTCACCCAGCACTTCTAGAAATTCAGCTGCTGCTAAATAAATTGTGAATGACTGTAATGGTATTGTGTTCCCCAAAATATTGTGCACACTAATAAACTAATCTGGGGTCACAGAACAGAACAGCCACAATATTAAACATAGAGGATAGGTAGTGGTAGCACACACCTTTAATCCTAGCATTCCAGAGACAGAGATCTACCTGGATCTCTGTGTGTTCAAGGATATAGCCAAGCATGGTGACTCACACCTTTAATCCCAAGTGAGCCTTTAATCCCAGGGAGTGATGGTAGAAAGCAGAAAGGTATATAAGGCGTGAGGGCCAGAAACTAGAAGCATTTTGGCTGGTTAAGCATTCAGGTTTTCAAGAAGCAGTTCAGCTGAGATTCATTCTGGATGATGACTCAGAGGCTTCCAGTCTGAGAAAACAGGATCAGCTGAGGAAATGGCGAGGTGAGGAAGCTGTGGTTTGTTCTGCTTCTCTGATCCTCCAGCGTTGACCCCTGTACCTGGCTCCAGGTTTGTTTTTATTAATAAGACCTTTTAGCATTCCTGCTACAGAATGACTCTTGAAAACCCTAGGATTTTGCTCCTTAATTCACTTGACCTTCAGGTTCTACTGCCTCTGCCATTTATACGTGGTGGCACATGTCTTTAAATCCCAGCACTTGGGAGTTAGGAAGGGTTGGAAGGCAGAGGCAGTTCAATCTCTCTTAGTCCAAGGCAGCCTGATCTACATAGGGGATTTCATACCAGCCAGGGTGACATAGTGAGGTTCTGGAGATAGTGAGAGAATGAAAGATCAAGGGAGAGAGAGGGAGAGAGAGAGAGAGAGAGAGAGAGAGAGAGAGAGAGAGAGAGAACACACAACTGGGCATCATCCCTTCAGCCGAATCCCTCATCTCAGAGCCTCTCCACTCCCTGATAGTCTCCAATGCTAACAAGGGCCACATCAGCTTGCTTCGGGGGATCATGGTCACACTCCTTTTTTCTGACTCACAGCAATAGTAAGTGTTGGTAGCCCAGCTGTCAGGTTCCAGGGGCACTTGGTATTAGACGTCCAAGCTATGTCTCTTTAATCAGTGAAGTCCATTGGGTTTGGGCCTTCATCTCCCCTGGAGCACTGGGTACATTTGTGCATAGTCCACAGGGCCAAATGTGTCTATAACCTCTGAAACTCGTCACATGCTACCTAGAACAATCAAAATGAATATTCATGACGGCTACATCAAGGTCATCCCTGGGGGTGCCAAGGGTCCAGTCCACGTGCCCCTTATGTGGCCACAGGAATCCAAGGAGGGAGACTAGGCTAAGGCCTTTGAATGTTCTCATTTCCCTATAACTTCTGTCTTTTCATGATCTTCTCCTACTGCCCACCTGCCCCAGGTCCCCTCATGTTTCTCTCCCATTTCCTCAAATTACAGGGTTCTATACCTGTTGTCCCTCTGTTGAACACAAATGGCCGGCCCCTGCCTAATCCTCTGTTCCTAAAACATTCCAAAGTTGACCTTCTACTACCCGGGTTCCTCTGCCACGTGCCCTGGAGTGCCCCACACAGTACCCCGTCCACATCATAACACTCCACATCTACCCACACGACCAAGCATCTTGCAGTCACTCAGAGTGGGACCCCACAGAGGAAATGGCTTTAGGCCCGTATGTGACAGTGTACACACACCAAAGCTCACCCCTCACTGGCTCTGGTACCGGCAAATAAAGCTCTGTGGTGGGCAAGAGTCCTAGATTTCCCTTGACCTGGGAGCTGGACACAGGGCCCTCACTCTCACCCCAGGTGGGCTGCTGTTGAAGGTGTTTCTAACCACCCTGTGACCCAGCAGGTCTGACTCAACCCTGCTTCTAAGGAAGGAGCATCCAGGCCTTCAAGGCCACCATGGCCTAGGACCCACACCTGGACCCACACCTGGACCCACACCTGGCTTCTCCTCGGAGGCTATAACCAGGTGTGCTCTGTGATGCCAGTGCTGAGACTCCATTGAGTAGAGCTGACAGGTGACACCACAGACCTGAGCATGTCCCAGCAGAAAAACTACACCAAAAAACAGATCTCAGCTGCCCCCGGCCTCTAACCATCTAACCCCCTTATCTTTCTACTACAGTCGCAAGCCTAGCCCTTATCTGTTCTCTCTCTTGAATGTCTCCTGTGGAAACTCTGGGTTGGGGTGAAGAGGTGGACCAGACAACCAGCTAAGGAGGACCGCTGGAGTCAGGTGGTGATGTAATTAGCCTCCCCCACCCAGCTTGCTGTGCTTCTCTGCCCTCTAAGTCTCCACCTTCACCCCACCTCCAGGAAGCTACCTCCTCTGCTCTTCACCACCAACTGTGCTGAAATACCACGCCCCTGTTTCTTCCTCTCACGGGGCATTTGGGAGTATCTCTGTCACAGTGCTCAGTAATGTGTTGCAGCCCAAGTGGTGATCTGGCTCTGGTCAGCTGATGTGGGCAACATGACTCAGGAGACAATGCTGGCCTTGCTACTCACACTAGCCAGAGTCCTGCCTGGCCCCCTAGATGCCCAAGGTAAGCATTTCTCTGCACCGCAGGGCTCCAGGGAGCATCTCACACTCCTGCCTGGGAAGGGTTGCTGCTGAGCTTGACTTCCCTGAGTCCCAGAACTTTCAGGGTCCTAGAGTAGTCTCCGCTCTGTGGAAAAGTGGGGGCTTGAAAGCTTTGTTTACATGGCTAACAATCGCCCTTGCTGCTAGTGAGGACTGTCCTCTAGTTCCCTTTCAGAGCAGCTGTGGGAAGTCCTGTGGTAAGAGGCAAGAAATCTGCAACAAGAGTGTGGAGGCTCCGGCACCCTCCCAGGCACAGCATTCAGTGTGTGCGAAGCTGAGGTTGGCACTCAGTCTGCTGTACACAGGAAAATGGGGCCGGGGGGGGGGGGGGGGGCCTCCCGGCAGGGCAAACTAGGCTGGGATTTGAAAGAGTGGGGATCCCATGAACAAGCCAACAAGTGCTCCTTCTACAGAGCCTCAGGCTCTGGATACCTGGAAATGATGGAGGAGGAGGGTGGCTGTCTGGGGACTGACTCACCTAAGAGAGACAAAGGGTAGAGCCTGGGGGCAGAGGGAGTGGTCAAAAGGGAAGAAGTCCCAGTGCTGGGATGCAACAAAGCTGCAGACAGCCCACCCTGAAGCCCATGGATTGCTCAGAACTCGGGCATAGTCACAGGGGTGTCAGCACCTAGCGCTGCTCCCAGGTCCCCACAGCACCTGAAGTGCCACATTAGCACAGGGTTGACCACAGGACTGGCCTCAAGTCCCTACACCAGTCCTTCAGAGAGGGGTTTGAGAGAGGCATCTTACAGGGATACAAAATGGGAGAGTGAAGCCTAAAGGTGTAGAGTATGAGGTCTCTGTGCGTAACAAAGAGAGTTAGCATGTGTGTGAGTATACATGTGTGTGTGCTGTGGGGGATGCTTGAATTGCGTGGACATATATGAGCGTGGGATGTATGGAGTCGCTAAGATATGTGTTAATGTGTTTGAGTCTCCATGTGCTGTGTGGGAAGGCAGAAAGAGCTCTCTGCCAGCCCAGCGGTAACAGTGGCTGGTCCTTCACAGAGATGCAGCCGTCTTTCCAAGTCATGATGGCCTCTGAGGGGGATTCCATCAACATCACCTGCTCTACAAGGGGAGACTTGGAAGGAATCTACCTGAAGCAGAGTTGGCCACAGGATTCTGATGTGATTTACTTTGAAGATGGGAAGGAGTCCACAGTAGACAAGCGCTTCTCTGGCCGAATTGATTTCTCCGGTCCCCAGAACAACCTGACCATCACCATGCGCCTCCTCCGGCTGGCAGACACTGGAGTCTACTTCTGCGAGGCCGTCAGAAGAAGCGCGAGCCGTGGCTCGTCCACCATGGTTGTGGTAACAGGTAGGAAATGTGTGCATCTACCGCTGGCTAGGCCAGGAGCCCGCTGGCTGCGGGGACCTTCTTTTCACTTGCTGGAACTGTCTGCTCAGAGCCTATCTGTTCCTGGGAGCATCCTAGTGACTGCCTCTCAGCTACTACCGTGGCTCCTCCCTGGCTTGAGCCCCAAGGCCTCCAGTAGAGTCCTCTCCTGCCTATGGCTCTTTCTGTTCATCTTCCCAGAAAAACTGTCCCAAGAAGCCTACAGATCCCAGGAACCTCTGAGGATTTCCGTTTCCCTCCCAGCCGCCCTGGCTGTGGGCTCCTTCTTCATGGGGCTGGTCCTTGGGGTGCTGTGCACACTGAGGAAAACACAGGTCAGTGTGAGCCTATGGCTGTTACCAACAAGCTGGCCCTTCTCACGGGCTGACAGAAGGAGAGAGAGAAGGCTTAAGGCCAAAGGTCAGGGGCACATGGCAAAGTACTGAAGGAGTAGAGAGGGGTGTGAGTAAGGCATCACGCAGGGACACAAAATGAAGCCTAGAGGTAGAGTGTGGGGCTTCTGACCAGGCCCCTGTGCACAGCAAAGTGAGATAGCATGTGTGTGAATATGCGTGTGTATATGGTATGTGAAATTCATGAGTGTGCACATACGTATGTGAATATGGGGTATGTGGAGTATCTGAGGTATGTACTAGTTTGAGTCCCCATGTGCTGTGTGAGAAGGGGAAAGAGTTTGGGCTAGAAGGGTCCTGACAGTGGTCAGCTCTTACTGATCGCTCAGCTGTTGGCCCTGGGACCTGCCTGCAGTTGACCCTACCAGGTGCAGATGGAAGCCTGGTCAGCGCCCCAGGTCTGAGGAAACTGCTTGTTGAATAAAGGGGTTGCTTGGAGACAGGCACACTTTGCCCAGGTCACCATGCTGGCCACTGCCACTGTCTTTTCAGATCAAGGAACTGTGTGCCTCGAGTGATAAGGACTCACCGTGTGTAGTATACGAGGACATGTCCTACAGCAATCGCAAGACTCCATGCGCCCCCAACCAGTACCAGTGAGCCCTCTACCCACAGTGATCCTGCTGACCCACCCGGCCCAACGCCCCCAGCACCCTTCCTGTGCCACTCGAGTGCCCCCTGGTGCTTCTGGGTGGATGGGACCCCTCCTCTGCAAGCTTCCCTACAGAGTTCTTCAATCCATCCCCCACCCTAGCCAGGTATCCCTGATCATGCTGCCATGGGGGGGGGGGGGGCGGGAAGCTTGGGGGAAAAAATGTGGTATCTACCTTGGAGCCATCTAGCCAGAAATAAATAAATAAACAAACAAAGAGAGCACTTGCTTTTTGTTGTTGTTTGTTTTTTTTCCTTCTCTAACCATGGTTTTTAATTTTCCAGCCAGCTGCTAGATGAAGAGGGCAGGGACTCAGACTGTCAGTCCTCCAGGGTTTTGTGGCCAGCGTCTGTGAGAGCACAAGAGAGCAGCAGTGGGGGAGGGGAAGAAGTGGGGGAGGGGAAGTGGGGGAGGGGAAGCTCTCCTGCCCCAGCCCCCAGGAGGTTCAGCACTCCAGACACCCGGTAAGGAGCAGCTCAACAGGCAGTGGCAACAGCCTCACCCATTCCAGAAGGCCATGCTCCTGAGGGCCCAACCCTCCTGTTGACACGGCCCTAAGGCCCTCAGTGAGAACAGTGGCAGCTTTCCCAGACCCCCCCCCCCTTTGTCTCAGAAGCCCATGAAGCCACGGCAGCGCCATCCCAGCATCTAGGGCCAGCTCCCAGTGTTGCACTTGGGGATAGGAACTAAGCACAGGCACTGGGCTGATCCACAGCGAGCTGCTTGGCCCCTCATCTACCGCACATCACTGACTCCTGGAGTAGCTGGAAGCATCAAAAAGAATAAGAACGAAGTCGATGTTCGAGCTGGCCCCACTCCTGATCCACACTCTGACCTGCCCCTCTTTCTCCTGCCCTCTGTCCTAGCCCTGCATAAGGCAGGCACAGAGGACAAGTGACTAACGGGAGCAGTACAATGGGAGACTGAATAGCCCTGTTCTGTGCACCTGGAAAATGGGGTGCAGATCCCAGCGGTGAGTGGTACCCTTGGACCCAGGCCATGGCTCCATCCACCTCTCCTCCTGTCCTGCCAGCTCATCCCCAATTCAGCCTCCCCTACCCAGGCTGACCTCTGCGCCCCCCCCCCCCCCCCCCCCCCCCCCCCCGAGCTACCACCATGGCCCTCATAGAGACTGTGCACCACGATGTCACGATGCTGTGCTGGCGTGACAGCAAAGCCCAAAAGAGCTGCAAGAGCACCAGAGCCTGAGCAGCCGTGTAAGTCACTGGGGTTGTCAATGCCCAGCCTGCTGTGTAGATAGATCCCTGGTCAAGGGTCACAGGGCCTGGATTTTATAGGGTTAAAACCCTGGGGCAGCAAAGACCTCTGCTAATAAGCCTCAGCAAGTCTTGTCCCTTTGTTGGTACCTCACTTGCTGCCCCAAGTCTCATTTGGCTGGGCCACTGTCCTGGGTCTAGGCAGCCTCCTAGATGGTGTCACCAGCCTCACTTAGGAAGTGTGGTGTATTTTCAATCTTGAATGAGGACTCTAGGACATGAGACCTCCCTCTAAACCTAAACTCAGGCCCTCTGCCCTCCATCCAGGCCTGCTCCACCCCTAACATCTCAGAAGAGCCAAATCACTCCTGCCTTGGTTGGTCCTCCTTGCAGGCCTTCACTGGCAGGGCTTCGCTCAGCTGGGAATCACCCACAGAGAGTCCTCCATCAATATGAAGAGAACCTGGCTAAGACAGCTGCAAATCCAGAGGCCAACATGCCCTGAGCCTGTCTGTGCCTGACCACCAGGGCAAGTCATAGAGACAAAGCTAATGTGGTCAGCTGCATACTTAAAAACATCTCAAACAAAAATAAATGATAGAGAACTGCAAACTGCAGAGAAATGTTTACTAAACAAACTATAGGTCAGGAGCCAATATATTTATTTGATTTATAAGATGACTTGTCAGCTGGGTGGTGGTGGCGCATACCTTTAACCCTAGCACTCGGGAGACAGAGGCAGGCAGATCTCTGCAAGTGTGAGGTCAGCCTGATCTAAGTAGTGAGTTCCAGGAAAGCCAAGGCTACACAAAGAAACCCTGTCTCAAAAACAAATAAACAACAACAACAAAAAATACAGTAAGTAAATAAATACATAAGATGACTTGGCCCTGAATAGGAAGACAACATTTAAATAAAAGAATATACCAAAGATGAGCAGGTGGCCAGCAATACCCAACTGTCCCATTTCTTTACAGTAGTTCTTCAGTGTCTGCCGTCACTTAGTGCTCTCTTTATATCAGCCCCACTCCTCAGCATCTGGAGGCCACCACCCCTCTGCAGATCTGGGAGCTACTGTAATGCCTCTGTCTAGAAAATCTTGACCCCCAGCCAGCAGCTATGGGCCTGGATGGCTCTAGCTGAGTCCTTTACACTTAGCACCACCAGCTAGCTGTGACCAGGAAAGGCAAAAGAGCACAGGTGTGGGGTCCTGGGAAATAGGCTGGGCACAGCTGACATTCCGAGGTTCTCAAGCCCGGTCAATGTGCCTGACCGGTGCTGACAAACATCCTTCACCGTCAAGATGTAACACATAGCAAAGCTTCTCTCACATTGCAAAGCAGCCATGTTGGCAGTTGCTCTGTGCAGTAACCGCAGTCTTGTTCCGGCACGGCCTCCCACACAGAGCAACGGACCAGCCGTGGGACAGAGCCCATGAGGCTAATTGCTGGGCTCTCTACCTCCCTGAAGGGAGTTGAAACATCTATGGCCTGGAACTCAGCCAAGGACAGATCCAGATATATAGCAGGTGCCACCAGGGGCTTGCTGGCTCAACAAAGGAACTTTATTATTGGCCCTGGGGCCTCATTCCCCACCCGGGAATTAGGTAGGTGGGGTCTACTTCCCTTCACGTGCTGGTTTGACTGCCAGGCTGGCACCAGCTAAGTCAGTTCCCACCACAGAGAAATCCTGGTTTCTCCCTCTCATTTTGGAAACAACTTCCTGAAAGATAAGCAGAAAGCCTACCAGCCCATCTCAGAGCCCTGGTGATCTGCAACATTGCTTGCCAGATCCCACCCAGCAACAACAGGCCATGTGTCCACAGAACTGAACCCTAGACCCCCTCCCTCCTCCCAGCCTTGCTTGCTCAGGACCATCACTTCATGGTCTTCTTTCTGACCCCTCCATATTTAGTACCCCATGATCTTCCCCATGGCCCTTCTATGAAGGCTGAGCTCCCCATAGTCCTGCTCTTTGTCTACATTCAGGCCTTGACGGTGTGGTACACAGGAATGAATCCTTCTACTATGTCTCCATCCCCACCCAGGCTCAGAAGTACCCATCCTCTTAGCGAGCACCACTATGTGCTATGCATGTTGGGTAATATTCTGGTTTATTCCTCTGATGACAATAGCATGTGCTTGGTCTAAGCTCTGGTCCCCACTGTGCTAAATTCTGTGCCTCACACCTCCCTGCAGGAAGTGGATTTTATGGCTTGGGACTCAGCCAAGGGCAGAGCCAAGTGTACAGCAGTGCCACCGGGGGCTTGCTGACTTCTGATTCCAGATCTTGACTGCTCAACAAATAAGCCTTGTTTTTGGCCCTTGGGGCTTTGTGGAGGCATCTCTCCAGGCTGTGGCTCCTTCATCTGTAAAATGGGACAATGCAGTAGTTGGATGCCATAAAGATTAATCAAGATGCTGCATGCAACACCTCCATAGAGCAATACTCCCTCAGCTACCCAGGCTTGGATAGATAGGGGAGTTAGACTACATGGGGAAAAACACCTTAGGGGAAGCCTCACACACAGGGGAAGACTTCCCCCTAACAACACACACACACACACACACACACACACACACACACACACACACACACACACGAATTTCATGAGATCAGCCTCATGAAGCAGAGGTAAGCCTCAGCCTAAGTCATCCCAGCACAAAGGGGAGCCACCAAATCACACACCACCTCATTCCTTCCTCTCCCCTCCCTCCCTCCCTCCAAGCCTGAGGGTCTCAATAAATCTTTTTTGTTAGTGTTATACTCTGACACAAGAACCTGGCCAAGGGGTAGCAGCCAATGGGAAGTATGGGAAAGGAAAGGTCAGCAGCAAGCAGAGATCCTGTGGGGCAAGACACCCTGAAGGCACCTTGGGGTACCAGGTGAGAGGAGGAGAGCATTGCTTGGATTCAGCTTTTGAGAACAGCGGAACAGTGAGGAGATTCCAGACTCAGCTGGTGCCAAGCTCCTCACACATGAGGACAACAGGGTAATTAAATACTAGGGGGTCGAGAACTTGATTCCTTGACTGTCACATTCAACAAAATTATACAACTTAAGGACAAAATAGATACTCAGGCATCTAAGCTCTTAAAACACACCATCAGAAGTCAACCTTGCAGTCACTCTTGGAGGCAGTATTCAAGTCAGGCTAGACACAAGTGCAGGAGTCATTACAAAATAAATAAATAAATAAATAAATAAATAAATAAATAAATAAATAAATAAATAAATAAGTCAGAGGCTGGGTCCGTACAGGTGTTCAGAGGTTAAGAGCACTGGTTGCTCTTCCAAGGACCAGGGTTCAATTTCTAGCAACCACATGGAAGATCACAAACATCTGTAACTCCAGCCCCAAAATACTTACTGTCTCCTGGCCTCTGGTACTGTGCACACATGTTACACAGGCATGCATTCAGGCAAACATTCATATACATAAAATAAAAGTGAATACAGTCTCAAAAAAGAAATCAAGGACTGAGGACATAGCTTAGTTGGCAGAGTGCTTACCTGCCCTGATGAGGCCTTGGGTTTTATCCTCAGAACCACAAAAACCAGACATGTTGGTGCACACCTCAGGAAGCAGAGGCAGGTAGATCAGGAGTTCAAGGTCATTCCTGGAGATATATATTTCAAAGCCAGCCTGGGATACACGAGACTGTGTCTCAAAACACAATAAATTTGAGATATCAGCTAGTATTTGCTTTTGCTTCAAAAGAATAAAACACTGAAGAAAACAAAAGCAGGATCTATCTATATAACAATACAGAACTGAAATTCTGGATTATCGCAATACAATGGGGGGAGGGGGCGGAGGCAGAGATGGAGAGAAGTGAGCACATGCCCACACATTTCTCATTTCAGAAAGAAATCATACTGCAGGGAATCAAGTGTGAGGCTTACAGGTCATCACCATAAAAAACAAAATATACCTATGTCTTTTTTTAAATGAGCAAAAAATATACAACAAAATACAATAGCACAAAATATAACCAGTGTGA